CTCCCYGGAGTCCTCCAGGTTCAGGTGGAGCCCAAGAACAGCACCAGGAAYAGGCAGTTTCTCCCTGTGTTTCAGAGGAACGGGACTGAAGACCCGGTGAGACTCTGTGGATTCACCACAAGTGGAGTCTGGCGATTCCTGCTGGGTCCAACAGCGTCTGTGGGCAGGAAGAAAGGTGCAAATGAAGGGATGCAACTGAGAGAGGGGGTCTGGTATCTCTGCAACATCCAGAGCTGTGGCACCAGGGCAGATTCCATTCCTGATCTTCAAGCATTTTCCTTCCCCTCCCGTCCTGTGAGCATGGCATCACAGGGCACAGATCCACAGGTCTCAAATCTTGCAGCTTTTACAGGTGAGGCCTTGGATGTTTCTCTATTTCCTCCCCACGTCCAAGAGCACATTTCCAGAGAACATTTCCAGGTCCTGCATGGCAGCACATCTGGCTGCGATGGTCCCGCTCACAGCGCGGTGTCACCACAKGGAAATCTCTGCCAGCTTTTCCTGCTGCTCCCTCACAAACCACCCCACACACARGTGCAGTTTCGAAGGATCTGGGATGGTCCCAAGGGTGTGTGGGTGACAAGGATCCCCTGTGGCTGCCACTGGGAAAAGGGGAGGGGGTTATGGAACCTGTGTGTGCTGCGTGGGAGGGACGAGGTTGGCACAAGGTCCTGTCTGCTCACAGACCCTGCCCTGCTGATCCCGTTCCTGGGGTCASAGCTGCTGCTGTCCAGTGCCCTGGCCAGGGGCTGGAGTGGCTTTGTGGCCACCCTGGACTCAGCCCTCAGGGTGCTCTTCTCTCAAGAGATTGTGAGGCTGACACTTGCTCAGGGAGATTTGGGATGCCCCAGCCCCTCGAGGCTGTCTCCAGGCTCAGGGACCTGCTCTATGAGTGAGCAGGGGACCTGCTCTCTGTGCCCTCRGGCTTTGGAAGGGCCCTGCAGGCACCAGCCTGGCTGCCCAGCCCTGGGGACACCAGCTGTCCCTGCACATCCTGCCAGGCCCTCTGCTCCCCAGACAGTGCCACAAGAGCCACTCCCAGAGAGGGGCTGCTTCACCTCCCTCTGCAAACCAGCACTGAGAGCAGCACRTGAAGAACCACGGAATCACAGAGTCGGTGAGGCTGGAAGAGCCCTCTGAGAGGATTAGAGTCCAACCCCTGACCCAGCACTGCCAGTGCCACCACTAAACCCTGTCACCAAGTCCACATCCACACGTGTTTTGAATCTCTCCAGGGATGGTGGCTCCACCAATTCCTGACCACCCTTTTAATGAATAAATTTTCCCTAATCCCCAGCCTAAAAGTCCCCTGGCACAACTTGAGGCCCTTTCCTCTTGTCCCATCACTTGTTCCCTGGGAGAGCCCTGAGCCCCCTGGCTACACCCTCCTGACTGGACAGGGTGACCAGGGTGACCAGAACTGCTCAGGGTGACCAGAGCTGTACAGGGTGACCAGAACTGCTCAGGGTGACCAGAGATGCTCGGGGTGACCAGAACTGCTCAGGGTGACCAGAACTGCTCAGGGTGACCAGAGCTGCTCAGGGTGACCAGAGGCTGCTCAGGGTGACCAGAGCTGTACAGGGTGACCAGAGCTGCTCAGGGTGACCAGAACTGCTCAGGGTGACCAGAGCTGTACAGGGTGACCAGAGCTGTACAGGGTGACCAGAGGCTGCTCAGGGTGACCAGAACTGCTCAGGGTGACCAGAGGCTGCTCAGGGTGACCAGAACTGCTCAGGGTGACCAGAGGCTGCTCAGGGTGACCAGAGCTGCTCAGGGTGACCAGAGCTGTACAGGGTGACCAGAGATGCTCAGGGTGACCAGAGCTGCACAGGGTGACCAGAGGCTGCTCAGGGTGACCAGAGCTGCTCAGGGTGACCAGAGCTGCACAGGGTGACCAGAGCTGCACAGGGTGACCAGAGCTGCTCAGGGTGACCAGAGATGCTCAGGGTGACCAGCTCAGGCTCTGAGACAGCCACAGCTGAGCACCTCCCCTCTCTCCACCAGCAGTGCAGCTCCCCACAGCCCTGGCCTCAACACCACAAAGTCAAGAGGCAGCCCAACAGAATATCCAGGGGAACAACTCCTGGTACCACTCCCAGTTTAATTCCTTCCTGGGCGTGTCACTTGTGACACGGGCACATCAGTACAGAGGGAGACATCCTTGTGAACAACACACATGAAGAAGAGTCCTGCTGTTTTCTTGTTTTATCAAGAACATGCTGCAGAAGATGGGGATTTTGCTGGCTTGTGTTGAGCTCTGTCACACAGGGAGCTGCTGGCCTCGTCCTCAGCAGCTCAAAACTGGAAGTAACATTTTCAACATTGACCTCATATTAATCAGCATGAAGCACAAACAGAAGGTTCACATCACCCGCTGTCTCTTTGGGTGAGTTTTGAAATAAATTCAGTAACAAATTAAAAGTTCAACAAATCATTATATGACAGATCTAGACATATTTCTTTTCTAATGGGTAGACACAGATACAACACGAAATGCATTTGAAATGCATCATTCTCAAAAGAAGGAGACAAAATGGSCTTCAGGTTTAGTAGAGCCTCTGCTCTTTGTTCTAGCAACTTCAGTGGAATGAAAAGTTGGAAGTTTTAATTATAATTATTTTTTTAAAAGGATGCTACAGGCAAGACAGTGGCTCTATGACTGACCTTGCAGAGTAGGTTCCTAAATATTGTAATATTTTATTATCATATATATTTAWTATAATACACATTGAGCACATGCTGCTGCACTGTAGAGAAAGCATCAGCAAGAAAACAGGAGATTTTGGGGCTTGGAGAGGTTCTCTGGCAAATGGCCTTTTGGCATTCCCAAGGCACAACAAAGCAGAGTGGCACTGTGGAAATAAGAGGCATTAGTTGAATGTTCCTGCTAAAGCTACAAGAAGGATATTTCAGCAGGACCCTCTCAGTTTTAAGATCAGATGAAGGGTTCTGTTCTTCCACCTTCAGTTCCAGAGAGAAATATCCCCTGCATTTCCCACAATTTCTTTGTGAACCATAAAAACCCAATTTTAAATTCAACTTTATTCTTTGGACTGTAACTGCGTAATAAGTGCTGAAATCTCTACTTGAGGAAGCAAAGCTCCTGCTGCAGAAGCTGCTCCTTCTTYTCCCCACAGGATGAGTTCTCTCTACAGCCCCTAACACCATCCCCAGCCCACTCCAGCTCGAAGGCCTCAGAGCCCCATTTCAGGGAGTGCTGGTCCCTGATCACCAGCTCAGCCCCTGGTGATCTTGGCTTGAATCCCAAAAGTGAAGTAGAAGGCTGTCAGTTCCTTATCTGCTCCCTTTCCAAAAACATGTCTGAAACCAGAGAAACTAGTCATTTTTTTTTTCTCTATTGTACTTTCACTGTCTGCAACAAATTATGGTTTGTTTTTTTTTTCTTTCTGATTAGTCACAAGTCACAGGAAGTAAATCAACATTTAAAAATTGAAACAGTGCAATGACATTTTGGCAGCTACAAGAAATGAACAATTAGGTCTTAATTACTACTTAGTTAAAATTCAACACTGACTACGCCAGCACTTTATTTCAAAACCCTCCAGAGACTCTGCCATCCTGAGCACCAGAATGTACTATGATAAAATATTAATAATTAAATGATACCATAGGACAATTGCCATGCAACTTCAGCCTTGTGAGGAGGGGAAGGGGAAGGGGAAGGGGAAGGGGAAGGGGAAGGGGAAGGGTTCCCCTGGGTGTAGTTTAAGCCATCTCATTTCACATGTTGCCCTTTACTTGGATCTCTGCCTCACACTGAGGCTGGATTGCACCCTACAAGTGCCTGGTTTTTCCCATTGCCTGCACCAGTCAGAGGAATTAGCTCAAAAAGAGACTTTTCCAGGCATTTGCACTTGAACAAACAAATCTCAGCCCAGTCACAAAAAACAAAAACCAAATCTGACTCAAACAGCTGAGATACAGATGAGACCACAAAAGTCTTGSTGCACTTAAAAGGTCTTAGCACAAATTTTCTGAGCAGCAATTTCAAATTCACCACCAGATCACTGTTGCAAACAYTGACTCGTGTCAGGCCTGCCACCAATCCCTGCAGCAAGCCCTGAGAAACACCAGCTTTCCCACTGACAACCACCTCACAAGTATTTTGTTCACCTTTGATTCATACCATATCTGCTCTACTGCTTCCAGCAGCCAATATTTGACTCCAGTTGAACAGCTACAAAGCACAACTGCTCTGTGCTACATGGATTAAGGAACCTCTCTGCCAAAACTTGTACTTCCCACAATGAAATCAGGGCTGTTTCACAAAATCTATTTTCCACAGGCTGATACAGAATGTCCATTAGTCTCAGTCTCCCCTTGAGCTCCTAAAACCTGGATTTGTCTTTACTCTCCTACTTTTTAACCTGGATTTGTCTTTACTCTCAGTCTCCTTCAGCCAGTAAATCTGCAAGTTCCTGTCCTCACACCCTGCTGTCCATGATCCCATCACACAGCACTACATCATCTCCAGCCCTTTAGTTTTCTCCCATAATCTCTCTGCCCCCTTTTTTTATTTTCCTTGAGCCCAACATCTTTGTGGTACAGGTTGTCAAACATGTTGAGCTGGAGATTAAAAGAAGCAAAGTGCTCCCTAAGCAGATCCAAACTTTTTTTCCCCTACTTTCTATATAATGAGAAAAAAAATGAGTACATAAATACCTTTTACCTTTCCTTGACATTCCAGGCTCTTTGCATTCATTCCCTTTATTTGCACTGGTCCTGGGCAAACCTTGAGTTCAGCAAAGCCTGTTTWTCCCTTTGCAAGTGCTCCTTGATTTGGGGACACAGCGAGGGATGGAGCAGCAGTGGGATCAGAGGTTTGGTTATCCTGACTCGTGCAGCWGTGTGGATGGAGGGTTTTAAAGAGTTCCCCTCTGGGCTCAGGCAGCAAATCCAGCTGAAGGCATTTGGGACCGACTAAAACACTCCCTAGGCTCAAACCCGCTGTAAGGAGAGGAGTAGACAGGGTTGCTCACCGTAGATTTTCTGAATTCCTTGGAGGTCATCCTGGGGCAGTTTGAAGTTGTGTGTCTCCATGTACTGGTAGAAAGGGGCCATGATGGCGCTGGGGTCGTTGGAGTGCTCCAGCCCCAGCGCGTGGCCCAGCTCGTGCACRGCCACCAGGAAGAGATCGTTCCCTGTGGGAAGAAGGCACAGCCWGGTTAGCACACACAGCCCCAGCCAGCCCAAACCCCTCCTGCCCAGGAAGCCAGAAGAAAATGCTTTGCTCTCCTACTGCACAGCAGGTCACAGTGCYAGGGTCAGATGGTTTTAGTCCCCAAAGTCTGCACAGACACTTGTCTCAGAATGGACCTGAGGCCTCTGCCCCAGCACAGGTCAAACAGGTGGTGCCTGGAGTGAAAGGACACTGACTGTAGACTCTTTTGTCTACAGAAAATGGCTAAAAAATCACCACTGATCCCACAGGCTCCTTATGCAAGTGCTGCCTGGAGAGGTGAGAGCACGGCCAGTCTGCTGATCTATGGTGGRGTGGGTGCTTTGTGCCCCTTCTGGGTCCTCTGGTGTCGTGCTCTGATCTGACCTGGCCCAACAAATCCGCAGGGAGGTCTGAAGGCACCTGGCAAGGCAGAAGGAAGGACAGAGGAGCCCAGGACAACACCCACWATCCCATGTGGGCAGCCCCATCTCCTCCAGCACAGGCTCCTCAACGTGCACTTACTCTGCTGGACCCCTGGCACTGCCACGTGTGCAGGAGCTGAGCACAGGGAGCTCCATCCTGCCCCATTCCCACACAGGGAAAAGGCTGGGATGGACCCCAGTGGTGGAAGACAGAAGGAGGAAGGAGGAGAGAAGGGTCAGGACTGTCCCCGAGCAGAAGAGGAAGGGCTGAGRAGCCCTGTGTGGTGCAGAAGCTGGGAGCAGGGTGAGGTATGGGTACCTTCAGCTCCACAGGCACACATTCCTCTTCAGTCCCACGGCTCTGGGACCACATCTCCTGGATCTGGTGCGGTCCCTGGGTGTCCTACTCCGTGAGGGCACTGGGGGTGACCCAGGCAATACTTTGCAGGGACGAAGGCCCAGACAGCAAGGACTGACACGAGGGTCTCCTCACGCCAGTAAAATGTCTGAGCCCTCAATTCTGCCTGAATTCAGGCTCCTCTGGGTTTGGTTTTTTATGGCAGGGCAGAAACCWAAAGCACTTGCAATCAGCTGGCAGTGGCTGCTCTGCAGCATCTCCCTGCACCTTCAGCCTTGGAGGTACCAAAGCTCAGCTCTGTGCACACAGCTGAGCTCTCCCTGAGACAGGAGATGCAACAGTGGCTCACAGAGAACAATCTCCCCTCTTTAGTTATTGCTTCACTGTTATCCATAAAATCGTGACAAAGCAGGTTCAGGGGACTGTGAGTCTCCACAGCAGGGAACTCTGCCAGCATCTGAAGATACCTGCAGTCAGTATCAAACAGTGCTCCCCCGGCCACACACACCTCCCCAAAAACGTTAAATGCTCTAAACATCTGAGTTGGAGAGTGAAAGCATCTGAMTATGCAAGACAGGTTAATATATACAAATGCATTTCATATAAATGTTCAAATACAAATGTTCAAAAGCRTATACAGCCTAAAATTTAGCCACATATTTATGCCAAGTTTTAGAATTTCTGTATTTGGGAAATCCAAATGGAGACCTACTTAGTAMTTTTTTCTCATCTGTTGCTGAAAARTCMGGTGTGTGCAGAACAAGTCAATGCAATGTCCAACAGGGCAGTATAAAATGCATTAAGTAGGTTTATGGGAAAGTCTGGAAGACTGATCACTCTTCATGGGTTTTCAAAAACACTCAGGCTTAGAAGATGCACCCAGATTACAAATGGRATTCAGAGATTCAATGTCCTCTTGCAAAATTTAATGGATTTACCATCTTGTATCACTTACATGCTCACRAAAGCATCATTTTCACTGCTGCCACAACTACTCACACATGGAAGTTCACAGTAAAGGGTCACTCATTGCAGAGCTGACCTCGTGAGACTGCTCATCACTCACCACGGGTTCACAGGGACATCCTCCCTGACCAATTTGGTGGCATTTTCCTCCTTGCTGAAGTATCTGCAGTATTTGTGCTGCCAGCACATCTAGAACTTGCCTCTATGTAAATCTGCATATAAATCTATGAAAGTGACTTGTCTGTGTGCTACACCTTTATCAGTAGTGTAAGATCAGGCACTATCCCAAGTTAAATTAGTTTTAAATAGCTTTCAATCACTTGTTCCTGCCCAAAACAAATGCCAGACCACTTTACAGGTGGAAAACAAATCCCACAGACTCACAGGGCAGTCGAGGCTGGAAGGCACCTCTGGAGAGTWTCCAGTCCAATGCCCAGCTCAAGCAAGATCAAGTAAATCAGGTTCTCTTGCCAGGTTTTGAGTGCCAGGTTTCTCGGAGTGGGAAGCCCCGCACAGGGCACTCCAGATGTGCCGAGCAGAAAGGAAGGATCATCTCCCTGCTGGCACTGACCTGCTGGCAATGCTCTTCCAGAGGCAGCCCGGGATGCTGCCGACTCAGGTTCAACTTGGTGCCAGCCAGGAGCCCCCAGTCCTGCTCTGCAAAGCTGGCCCAGTCCCTGTGGGCTGTGCATGTCCCCTTGCTCACCCTGCTCAGGTTCCTGCCAGCCCGTTCCTCCAGCCTCTTGYGGTCTCTGAATGGCACCATCACCATGCAGTGTTACCAGCCACTCCTCCAAATTTCTGTCATCTTCAAAGTGGTTGAATGTGCCCTCTGCTGCATCACTGATGTCACCTCATCAAGGTGACAGTACTGAGCTCATGCAAGCCCTCTGACACACACCCTGAACTCCTCCATCTCACGGCTACTGCAGCCAAGGTCATGACTGATCTTCACATTACCCACATTTCTTCAGGTATCAGGTCCAGCAGGTCATCTGTCATTATTGGCTCCCTGATCACCAGTGAGACAGCCAGTAAGAGTTCTGTGACCATTAGCAAGACCAGGAAAATGAAGGCTCACTCCCGAGGAAGCACCTCAACCACCATGGTGGTCAGTCAAGCCAGCTCTTCCACTACAGAACAGAAACACCTTCTCCCAGCTACCCTTAGGAAACACAGACAGCTGTGGAAAACACCACAGCTTTAAATCACCACTTTGACTGGCAGGTGTGTGTGAGGATGTCACAGAGCACAGAAAATGTTGGCTGGGAAGCTTTCTTGCAACTAGAGGTAAGAAACTCTCCAAGAAATGAACTGTCCCAGTTCCAGCACAGTCACAGCAGGCAGGTCAGGGGAAAAACTCTCCTCCTCCATGGCCAGGAGGCCACCCAAACCAGAGCAGTGATGAACAAGGGGCAGTGGCTGAAGCAGATAAAACAGAGCTAAGGAGAATTTCTAGGAAGTGAACTGACCCCCACAGAAAGCAGGACAAGAAGCTCCCCTTGGTTCTCTCCAAGCACTCTGATTCTCAGTGCTGTGGTTGCTTCTCATCTGCTTTTGCTGAAAGGCAGTCGAACAGCAGTAGCACACACGGCTCCCTCTCCTGCTCTCTGCCCTGGCCAGGAATTCCTCACCACTATTTCATCCCCTCACCTTTCTCCTCCAGCCTCCTCAGACACATCTGTCATTCTCTTCCTTCCAGCATGGCCCKTTCATCTCCCTTCTCCACCCTGCTGTACACTCTGAGAGTTCRGTCCCAGCTCTGAAACAACTGAGTCATTGTCAGAGAGCAAGCGGGACAGCATTTCCTGGGAAGRGGTGATGGGAGGAAAACGTCTATGAACATTTCAGAAGCTCAGAGTTCTCGAAAATCCAGCTCTGGATTCATCATTCTATTTCTCTTGAAAAGTCACTTGATATCAATAACAACATTAAGCAACAAGTTCCCTTTATTATTGCTCATGGTAGGGAATTTCATAGCATGGAAGAGAACATGTTTATTTCCTTTTGAAAGGGTGGGCTAGGATTTGCTCTGAAAATACTGAGGCATAAAACTGCCAATGTGGTTCTCTCCTCCCACAGCACTCGAGAACTCTTTGTGTTCTCACCCACTGCTGAGCTGGAGCAGTCTGGAAAGGAGCTTGCACCTCTCACATTGTTTCAGTTGGTTCTTGAACACACAGSGAGGTTTCTGACCTTCCAGTTTTCCACATATCTCATCCAAACAGCATTCCCAATAATGTCCATCTTCCTGGAGCAAGATTCAGATGGAGAGCTAACAGCCCAGCTTGATGCTTTGCTATTCCTACGGAAACAAAGTCAGGCAGTGGGATGGAGCTCCTTAATCCCCCCTTCAATCCACTCACCCAACTCAAGAAAATCTTGTACTCAGAGTGTCCCAGCCACCTGGGTAAGAGAGTGGGGTGGAGAAGGAACTGACTGCTCTTGCTCCATGCTTGCAGGAAAGGGTCCCAAGAGAAATACAACAATTTTTGCTMATTTGCACCACCTGTATTAAATAAACAGGTCTGGTCAGAGACCAGCCTGAGCTTCCTCCTTCCCGATTCTCAGGAGGCAGWCAAAAGTCCACCAAGAGGGAGAAGGATCCTGTAAAACTGGGGGATTTAAGTTGGCACACTGAGTGAAACAGTCTGACCTGCTATGCTAAACATAAAGACACACAGGTAATTTAGTTTTGAAGTTGCTGATGTGTTCATCTTGCTAAGCACAACGTTAACACCACAGAAAATGACAACTGAGGACACACCTATAGCACTGTAAAAGCACCCTCCTTTATCATGATGCCACACCAAGTGAATACACTGCTTACCTAACATCCAGCTCAATAGCTCTACACAACTTGAAACAAAGGCTTAAGTAAAATTTTCTTAATTAAAAGCAATCTGTGTTCAGGACAAACCTCATTAGCTGGTGTGCTCCCAGTTGAGCTAACTTACTTCAGATAAATTGCAATATAATCCCACATCAAACCCAGCTCTCTCAAATGGTTTGTAATGTTCTACCTTTCCCTGCAGAGTTAAGAAACACATGGTTTTATTGCAACAACACAGAGAACACTGGAATCATAAATAAACGGATTTATGTTTCATCTTTATTCAACTCTCAATCTCCATCCCTCCTGATTCTTTGATTTTAATCTTCCTCTGGAAAAAAACATTTAATCAGGCAACAGACACCTTGAGACAGCTTTTCTTTGTGAAGTTGCCAGCACAG